AAAAAAAAAAAAAAAAAGAAGAGTTGTAATAACACACTGAGTAGAGGAAAAAGTGAAGAGGTCCACAGTGACTTCAACTCTGTCTTTGGGATATTGACTGACAGGACATTTTGTGTTTAAGAGAGGAGGAGCTGTAGCAGAGATCAATAGGCATGTAGACTTCAGCAATCCGGATCAAGCTGTAGTCTGGTTGACCATTGTGTCAGCTCTGGTTCTGTAAGATGATCCAAAGTTGTCACTGATATCTCCCTTAAGAGGATGGATGAGGTGCCTCCAAGGGGATTGCTTCTACTCCCGGGTGCATCCTCTCGCTAATAGACAGTTATCCTCACATGAAAGGGTGGGCTGTCCTGCAAGGCATTGTTTTTTTTCTGGAATCCAAGTTGGCTGAAGGTATAGGATAAGGTTGTATCTTTGTGCTTTCAGGTTTGAAGGGGGATGAGGTAGGTCAGCAGGCAGACCCTTACTCCGTAGGTGATAAACATACATGCTTTTTCAGAGTCAAGCAGGAACTTGGGCAAAGCAAAGGAGACAGACACAAATTGAGAGTGGAGATGGCAGGCTTTTATCATGCTTTTAGTTATCTTGTGGGCCAAGTGAATAGTCAACCCTTTTTAGCAAGAACAGTTTCCAAGTGCTCATTATATTGTTCAAAAGCTCCCAGCCGCTCTCACCAGGTCTGGCTTGCCAGTTTCCATTTCATCTTCCTCTCATCAGTCAGATTATTTTACAGAGTCCTCACTTTATTGATTTATCCATTCAGCATATATTTATGGGAAATGTTCTCTGCTGAAGGTTCAGTGTGGGATGTGTGCTATGTGGTCATGTTCTCTAGATCATTTGAAAGATTTGATATACAAAAGAATTAGTAATCACTTTCATAAAATACAATCACATTTTTTAAAATGATGCTGTCAGCTCTAAGCTCTGAATCTGAGCTATTTCAGGCATCTAGTTCTATGGAGAAGGTAGAAGTGTTAGCAATTTCCTACAAATGCCAATAACTAAAGTTTACAGCTTACTCCTCAAATAATACAGATTTGTGCAACTGACAGAAGAATCTGCAAAGAGCCGCTGGAGGAGAAGCAGAAGAGCAGAGACTCACATGCTACCCATTCTAAGTTCAGCTTCTTCATCTTTAAACCTGAAAGTATAGAATGGTATGAATTAGTAAGATGGGTGTGCCAGCAGGATGTGCATATTTATGTACCGAGAAAAAGGGAATGGAAACAAAGGAGTCAATGGATTGTATGGGTGCAAGGAGGAGGAGAGGAAAAACAAGGAAAGTCCCAAACAGAGGAAAGAAAAAGATATTTCAAGACAGAAAAGTAATCCCTTAATAGACATCATGAAGAAATGCACAATAAGGCCTTTTCTCTACTCAAACACATCTAAAACGAAATTCTGGCAGTAGACATCATTTGTAAGCAGACACAGACTTGTCTGCATGGACTGCTGAGCCACCTCTCTAGTCCTGACATGTCAGCTCTGAAAGATTCTTTGTTGTTATATAAAAACATGTTGGGTGATATGATTTCACCTATAAATCTAAGCAGTGTATGATGGCATCAGTATTGGCAAGAAAGGATACAGCTTCTGATCGTGTTCTACACAGAACAGTGTTTCTGGCCTGTTGTTTCTTTCTTTCCCTTTCTCCCTTCATCCTCATTCCTCCTTTCTTTCTCCTCTTCCTCCTCCTCCCTCTATCTCCCCCTTCTCTTCTTTCCCATTTCACATTTTGCTTGGACTTGCGACAAAAGAAGAAAGATTTCAAGTCCCAAACTTGGAAGGTTAAGTCGGGCCTTCCCTTCCCGTGGGGACCAGAAGCACACAGCAAAGTCATTTTCTTAGAAGTAGTACTCTGTAAGAGAACAAAGCCCAAGAGACTTTGTTATTTTGTCTTTACATTAGTGTAGCTCTAGCTCAGCTCTGGTGGCATTCCCTTCCAGAGGACATTCTTCAGGACACCAGGTCCCTGTAGTGGGGTAACAGAACTGTCTTCCCGGGTCTTGGAAAAAGCCAGAGTCGGTAAGTCATATATAGATTGTGATTAAAAAGCAACTGACCATACCTAGATTTTACTGAATTTGGAATATAATTTGTGAAAGTATATTTATCAGTATTTTGACAACAAATACATAATGACAGATGCCAGACTATTTCATAGTTGATGGAAACAATTCTGCAAACCAAATCACCTGCCCTATGGAGAGCACAGAGTGGTGGATACCTAGTGATCCCTGTTTTCTAAACAAAATCTTGCTTTATTAGTATAAAAAAGCATGACTTGCTATGTTGTATTGTGATTGTTAGTTCTGGTTTTATTAGGAAAAAGTTACTCATTGAGAGCGGACAGTAATAGTTTCATTTTAACTGACAGTAAAAAAGCTGGATCTCCAAGTGCTAAATAAACTCCACTCTTGTGTTTGCTATGAGTATATTCAATTTGCAAACAAAACCTCTAGGAAAATTATGTGTTTATCTTCTGTATAGTACCCCAGATCTAAAAGAAGAGAGGGTGCACCACGGGAGTAAACTCTGGGAATGTGAAAAAGAGAAGACTTCATAATATCCAGTGCTAAGTGGACTTTCTCTCATAATCTACACACATAAATAACACATTGGAATATTCTCACTTGCTCTTCATTTTGATCTGAAAAATTGAATATGAAACAGAAGAAATTGCTTAACTTTTGGGGGCAAATTTAGAGTGATTTTCTGTATAAAAAAAGAGGGAGGAGACATTTCACTCCATGTCCAGTCAGTAGCTATGATAATTATATAGTGTGGTGAAGGTGCTGTGAGATATGAAATTAATGAACAAATGTCCTAATTTTCAGTAAACATTGTTATTTTAAGTTCTCTATCTCTCAGAGGCTTCCTTTGTTTAAATTTTATCTCCTTTCCTTTGAATACTAGAGTTAATGACTGAAGTGTTCACGTCAGAATTTTCCCCTTTTATATAGTCCTTTAAAGCCCACAGTTCACATCCTCTTGAAACCCACATAATTACAAAAGATGTGAGGCCGATTATTATCTCCTCTCCATCCTGCATACTCACAGGTGCCCAGCTACTTGAAGAGTGGGGGCTAATCACAGGGGAGCTTCATTCCCAGTTCAGCTGCCTCATTTGATCGACTCAAGACTCAGCCCAACAAAAGTGCTCTGTCTAATGAAACTGATTTTCATTTTTCCTCTTTAGTTGAGACAGGACTGCGAGTGTGGCAAGACAAAAGAATGAAGTGTGGAATGTCAATTACAATCATCTTCTCTGATTTTTAATTTTATTTCCCCTTTCTTTCCTGTTCCTTTTTTTCTTTGCTGCATTCATTCCTTCTTCCTCTTGCTCTGTTGATGTGTCTTCTGTAGTGATCTCGTCTCTGAGGGGGATCAGGAGTCCCGTGTTCTGAATGCTGAGGTTGTCTGATAGGTCTGCTGTGAATCAGACCTAACAACTCCTGAGAAACACATCTATAAAAAAAAGTAGAACAATCAAGTCATGGCAAGGTTGTACACACATTTGTATTCATGTCCAGTTATATAATGATATAGTTTCAATTTCACACAATAATTCTACTTCTATGTGAATTTTAAAGGCTCCTACTATGTTACTAAAATATATATCTAATAAAGATTCAATTCACCTTTGCAATTCACTGCTTATTCACTGTGACATTGAAGAAACTGTGAAGTATATTCTTTTAGAAACACATTCAAATAATGTTTGAGAGAAATTGAGAATCTTGTGTCAAAACCCATTTAGCTACAAGTAAATGAAAACTTAACACCAACCAACTGAGTTTCTACCAAAAGATCAGGAAGGGATCCTGCATAACTGAAAGCTTTGTTCAGAAGTAGGTTTGGTTTCCCAGGGGTCAATATGTCACTCAAAAGTCTTGTTCTTCTACCTCCTCTCTTTTTTCCTAGGGTCAGAAAACTGGCTGTTTCTTAGATTTGTCAGAAAGGGATAGTATACCTTGTACCATTTCTCTTGAAGACAAGCAATTAAAACTTAATTCTGTAAGCCTCAGATAGATTCATTTGGGCATTTGATTGATTCCACTGGTCGTCTTCACTGAAGCTGTCGCTTGGTCAGGAGGACAGGTCCTAAGTGTTGATTGGTTTAGCAAATGAGATGCATAGATGGATGAGGGTTGGTGTAGCTAGAACTACTAATGCACTGGCTGTGCAGGTGGGAGAGGCTTGGATTGTGGGAAACTGGAGGACAAGAGTCAACACATATTGGGAAGTTCAAAATTGAACATTTCCACTTTAGGGATAAAAAAGTCAGAAAGATCAAAACAATATTGTCACACCTTGAATGAATGTAGAGCTTTAGCTGACAATTTTCTTCTCACAAAATGATAAATAGTATGTAGTAAGCAATTAGTTCAGTAACAGGGGAATTCCAGCTAAATGAGCTTCACTTGTGTGAAGTGAAAGGTGAGTTTTACATATGCATGGTGAATTAGTAGACTCAAAGAGAATGGGCTTTCAGATGAAAGGATGTAATGGCCATTAGATTTTAGAGTTATTC